GACATAACATTCTCCAGCTGCTCAGCATGCAAACCTGGGATCAAGCAAAGATGAGTGAACAGCTCAACAGCTGAATGATGAAACATCAAATTCTCTGCAGGTTTGGTGATTATTTCAATCTAAATGTTGTGATGTGGGGAATTAGCACTCGACAGCATTTGAAGGAAGAAACAAAGCATGAAGATACCTAAACAATCCTAATTTTGTCCTCTATTCTTCCTGATCAGTAATTATGTTATCATGAGTAAAGTGTATTTGTTGTCATCCCAGATTATCCTACTTAGATTTTGAACTGTTAGTGACAAAAGCCTCATCTTACCCTAATAATAACCTGTTTTCCCCAAATATAACCTGTATGTAAAACTTCAGGAATTTCAACTGTGTAGAGGTTTGTTAAGCCTTCATTATTCCCTTGCAAATATCACCCAGAAGAAAGAAAAAGTTATAAAACTGGCCTCAGTTCTTAGAGAAATTCCTTCCAATCCTTATAATTATTAAAGTAACGGATTTCCTTTTAATCTTTTGAGAATAAGTGCTGCACATTCTGGGCAAAAGTACCCTTTCACACTAACTAAAAGCTAGCTCGTTTTTGGAAGGAAGAAAGCAAGCAGCCATTCCTGGGGATCCATGCTGAGTGCCTCAGCCTCACTGCCCATGCCAGAAACCCAGCTACAATCCCACCTGCACAGATTGATCCCAGCTGTAACCCCAGAAACATTAAAAGGGCTGCCAAACTAATTGCATCTGTGGCCAGTGTTCAGCTGGTGTTGTTGAGTGTAGGCAAGAGAGAAATTGGTTCCCAGGCTGATCTTCCCCAGGAGATTGCCTCCAATGTCAGTCCAGTGTCCCAGAAACACTGCACAGCACTTGGGGTCCCTTCACAGAGGCCACAACCAGGGTGTTAAGTCTTCAGTCTCAATAGACCTCCAGCTTTATCTCATTTGGCATCTTCCAGTGCATGATGAACCAAGCCCTGAGAAGAGCTCCCCAGGCTACCTATAAATTTTCAAACCTCAGTTATAAGTCATGTCTTTCACTGGCTGCTTTTCAGCCTTGCTTACTTCTTCCTTGTTTGAATGCCTGCTCCTACAAAGGGTCATCCAAAATGGAAGATTTCTCCCTTTGGGCCAGGCTGTCCCACTCCATGTGGCCTCAGACCTGGTCACCCTGGGTTTGGCAGCTCCTCCATCTCAACTAGGCTCCCACCACAGCAGCTATCCCGAGTGCTTCCATTTATTGCCCTGTGCCGTTGTTCCATGGGCAACTGGGTCAGCTTGGCCTGTCTAGCCTGGCCCAGTCTGCCAGCTCAGTCTGGCTTCCTTATATTTGCAAATCCTTTCACTCCCATGGGCTGGGTTTGCAAGCCAATTTTGAGTTTAGGCTAGATACGTTCAGATCATATCTCAAAAACGGGTATAAATGAAAATCCTGCTTTTGTGGGAACTGGGCCACCAGGTGAGCAACTCCCTTATTTAAGAATTTTTGCTCATTAATTCTCAAGGAAAGGCTTCCTTTTTACAAAAATTTCTTAAAGTCATAGGGCTGGCATGCTCATCAGCTCTCTGGGGAGCAGAACTGAATCTGTTTCTTAACCCTTATCAGAAAAGGCTCCAAAGCGTGTCAGGATGTGTTCGCAAATGGTTTAAGTCCCTCTGATTGTCCTTTTCTCTGATAGATTTGAGTTCTTTTGAAGAGTTTGCATACTGTCAGTTTAAAAGCCATAATCTGAAATGTTTCTCTTCCTGCTCCCAAGAGGAGGGACAAGGTGAGAGGCAGTGCTGGGAGAACTGAGGGGTCCCCATCCCTCACCCCAGTGAACACAGCCATGATCTTCCTGCCTGCTGCTGCACAGTCCCCTGCTCTTGAGGCCTGGCTGTGCAGATGGTGACGAGCTGGACAAATCCATGTGCAGAAATACCCTTGGTGTGAGCCACAGGCCTTGAGTCCCGTTGGCAACAATTTTGCTGTGCTGATATGAGCTCCCTGTGTAGGCAGCTCCCTGTGTTTGTCCATGCTGTTTTCTTCCTCAGAGAATAAACCCCAGCTAATCATCTTTCTGCCCCCTCTGTGTCCTGCTGGACCAGCTCTGCAGGTGGCAGATGGCTGCTTGCCACCGTGGGCTGGGTTGGAGCTCAAATCTGCTGTGGGTCTGGGGGTGCTCCAGCGCTGCACAACAACCCCAGGGAGGGCTGGCAGGGAACATCTGGCTGCTGCAGCTGGGGCTGCTGTCTTCAGCCATGGGAAACCTGCACCCGTATGTTCAGAGAAAGCGGCAAGTGAAAGAAAACACATGCTGGGTTGGAAAACACTGAGGGGGAAAAAGGTGAACTAACCACTGCACAGCCTTGCAGGCGTCGCTCCTGCACCAAAACCTGCTGCTGCTCCCCAGCCGGCAGCGTTGCTAAGTGACAGCTGATTTAGCACATCACTCACCATCCAGCAGGCAGAAGGAAAGCCAGGGAAGAGCTACAGACAGGGTTGCCCAGACCTCATCCTCACCATGACCTGGCAGTGCTAGACAGACCTTGTCCCCACCACGGCCAGGCAGTGTGTAACCTACGTCTGGACAGGTGACCTTGATCTTTCACTGGTGTTTAAGGTCAAACCCTGGTGTGAAACAAAGCAGGCAGAGGGATTCAGCTGCATGGCAGGAGCTGTCAGGACCAGTGGGATGTGTTTGGCATCACCAGGCAGTGGGAGAACTTGGCCACCAGCAGTTTTGTCCACTTGTGCCTTCTGCAAGAGCAGCACTTAATGCTTCTACAGCTGCACATTGTATAAGCTGCAGAAGGGAAAACATGCTCCCCTGCAAAATTTCCTATGCAAAATTAGCAGGGAATAGGGTCAGGATTAACAAAAAATTCAGCTGTCTCACCTCAACTTCAGCCTCTTCTGTATAAAAGGAATCAGTGAAGAATCTTCTCATAAAGGGCACACCCCCATAATTCATATCAGGGCAGTACTGCCCCCAAGGAAAGGGGGTAGGACACCATCCTTAGTGGGAATGTGCAGGAGAGGAGCACCCATTTCCCTGCTGGCAAGACCTGTGGTTTGAAAGGCAGAGTTGTGCTGTGCACAGTACCAGTGGTAAACTGCAGAGACAGATCTTTTTCCTAAAGCCATGAATCTCTCCTTTTCAGGGTAAGCTCGGAGGAGCAGCAGAGGAAGAAGCTCAACACAACCCCAAAAATCTAAGCCCAATTATCATATGACCACACAGAGCCAGGCTTGGAGGAGCAGCAGAGGAAGAAACTCAACACAACCCCAAAAATCTAAGCCCACTGAATTATCATATGACCACACAGAGCCAATAAGAAGATAGGGAACAAGGGGCAGAGCACACCACTTGTCTCAGCATCTCTCTCCCTCAACACCAGCTTAGTCTGAATTAAAATTCAGGATAGAAATATAACCCCAGAGGTGTTACCCCACCCTTCTGCAGTGAGACAGACCACCCCTTGCTATCAGTGTGTGCTTCTGAGCGTGTGAGTGCAGCCAGGACCTCTACAACAAGGATTTAAGGGTTCCCTGAACAAACAGATTTAGCATCATCTCAGGTTCATTCCCTAGTGGTCTTGCTCCTTCATATCACTCAGGCTAATGAGTACCCCAGCACCTGGCTGAGCTGAGAGGGAAAAAGTTTTCAAGAAAAAGACTGTGCATAATTAATCTTAGCAGGACAAGGAGAAACATAGCACAGTGCTGTGGGTAGGGCTAAAAGCCTCTGCCATGAGAAGGCAGAAACAAATGTCTGGGGAGTGTCCTCTTAAGGACAGAGGAGGAAGACACATGAAGGTAACAAGGAGACTTGTTGGTGGCAAAAAACTCCCTGCTGAGAGGAAAATCTGTGTGTAGGAGCCAGAGATAAGGCCAGGACAGCCTTCGGGAAGGGGCTGAAGGCAGCTGCATGCAGCTCTTCTTGGAGCCCTCTCTGTTTAGTGCCACTAAAAGAGGGCTCTGCTGGCCCTTTCTCAGGGCAAGGAGCTTCTTTAGTGAAGAACAGCAATGCTGCAGTCCTAAAAATGAGACATTTAGAGAATTAGACAGTTGCATAGTCTGGTATTAGTCTGCCTTGCAGTAAAGACTGGCTTTTGGTGAATGCATAGCATCTATTTGATGTTCGTCTCTTTCAGGCAATGAAATGGATGTGTTGGGTGAAACTGAAGCTCCACAAGTTGTAATCCCTGTAGAACCCCAGAAAAGGGCTGCAGCAATGTTGTGCTGGGGCTGGAGCAGCTGGGAGACTTATGCAGAGACCACCTGAGCAGCAGGAGGAACACAGGTAGCTGCTCATGATCACTACAGTTGTGCATGTTGGTTGGGCTGGAAAAAACCTCTGAGGTCATCAAGTCCAATCTATGACTGATTACCACCTTGTCAGCTATGTCATGGCATTAAGTGCTACATCCAGCATTTCCTTAAACACCTCCAAGGACAGTGACTCCACCACCTCTCTGAGCAGCCCATTCCAATATCTAATCACCCTTTCTGTGAAGAAATTCTTCCGGTCTGTTGGGCTAGGACTATGTTCCTTGTCCCGTCGCTGGTTGCCTGGAGGAAATACTGACTCCCCACCGTGTTACACCCTCCTTTCAGGGAGTTGTAGGGCGTGACACGGTCACCCTTCAGCATCCTCATCTGCAGGCTAAACCTCCCGCTACATCTCCTCGCACCTGGGGATGCCAGCGTGTCCCTGCTGCTCCTCCGCGAGTGTGAGTGGATACAGAGCGGATGTGTGCCCATCCCTGTGTGCCCCGTCCCCGTGTGCCGCCGGAGGGATGCGTGCCCGTGGGCTGCGCACACGAGGGCACACGCACACCCGCGTGTGCAGGACCCGCGGGGCGCGCCCCGGGCCGTGCCGGCGAGGGGCGGCCCCGGCCCGGCTCCCGCAGCCGCGGCGCCGCCCCCGCTCCCGCCCGGCCCCGCTCCATCCTCCGCCCTCCTCCCTCCCGCAGCCGCACCGAGCCTCACACCGCGGCGGGGCCGGGCAGGGCCGCACCATGACCGAGACCACCAAGACCCACGTTATCCTGCTGGCCTGCGGCAGCTTCAACCCCATCACCAAGGGGCACATCCAGATGTTCGGTCAGTGTCCGCGGCGGCGGGGCTGGCGGGGGAGGCCTGGGAGAGCGCCGGGGCTGCACCCGACTTGTGCCAGAGGGGGACGGTGTGGGGCTCGGGGCGCGCTCGGCGCCGCTCCGCTCCCGGGGCCGGGCGCTGTCCGCGGCCGCTGGTGCTGAAGGCGCCGCGGGCGGGGACCGCCGCGGCCTCCCGAACCTGTTCCCCATGGCTGGCAGCTGTCCCCAGCCCTCTGGGGCTGTCCCCTCGGGTGGCAGGGGTCCCCTCTCTGCACTCACATTCTCACGCTGCCGCCCCGCAGCCCCCGGGGTCGGTCCTGGCGCTGTTTGTCCGCTACTATTCGTCCTCGGGTCTGCGAGACTGCAGCCGCTGCAGCACTTCCATTTCCTCTGACCAGGGAGGAGATGGAACCAAGCGGCCACAGCCAGGTGCAAAAGTCAACAAAAATACACTTAATGGAGATATTGGAGTACTCAACCATTAGATTGATACTAGGTCGAAGGAACGGGAAACGTTTGTGTGAGATGATGAATATTACCGAGCGTCCCTGCGATGATACAGATGATGGGGATGCTGGAATCACTGCTACAGCCTGGCAAGACAGGAGGGAGGGAAGGAGGGAGAGAGGAAGGGCAGTCTCCATCAAAGGCGGTCTGACATGCCGTAGACACTGTTTGGGTAAAGCTCAAAATGCCTGGAAATCCCAATGCAAACAGTGGCTCTCTTGGCTGTGGAGGAGTCCTGGGAGGGTGAAGTGCCCACTGCAGACCACCTCGGAGTGCTGAGACAGGATTCAGCCTTTATGTCTGATAGGAGATTTAAGGCTGGGAAGTAGATACTGAAGGTCGTGTGCTACCAGCGGAGAAGCATCCCTGGGGTTTCTAAAAGCTGTATATAAGTTTCTAAATATATAAACTATATAAAAATACTTGAAATCAGCTTGGGGTATTTCTGCATCAGACCTTGTTTTTGTAGAACATAATGAGTTGCACATCAGGTTAGAAAATGATGCTTTTCTAGATGCAAAGGATCACATTGTTATTCCATTTCATAAGTGCCAGCAAAATGTAGGCCTGGACACCAACATGCTTGAAACTAAAATTAAAAAAATCCTATCCCCTAAGCAAAAAGAAATTGCCAACAAGGATCAAGAGGAACTATTTTAAAATAAAAACAATTATTAAATTAAATTACAAGGACTTGGTTGATGGAAGCAACCACTGATGAAAAATATTTCTGTAATTCATATTTAGTCTTATTTTGATTAAGTAACAGTAAGGATATCCATGTGGTCCTTATTCAGTGGACTAACAACAAGCAACAAAATGTGTATTAGAAATTAAGGATCAGTGAGATATTAGTATGCAGTGCATGTTCTTATAGACTCGCAGTAAGATTTTCTTTTTGCTTAGTACTCCTCAGTACCTTTATCAAAGATGTGAAAGAAAATATGTAATCCCTGATGGTAAAAAGTGGCCCTGACCCCAAAGTGGGCAGAATAGCAGTTGTGCTGCCTAACTCTGGTTGTTTGATAAAAAGGGCTTGTTCAACAGCAAAGTCAAAGGCAAAGTCATATGTCCAGCGGGGAAGAACACACTTCAAATATAAACAAAAGGCAAATGTCTTCTGCCACACAGCAGTGGTGCCAAGGACTGAGGGGGATTGTGCACAACCCACTGAATGCAAACTCTGTGTGGTGCTGTAAATAAAGCAGCAAATGTGACCCTGGTAGATATGAGCGGGGGAATATCAAGCAGAAAAAGAAAGGTTATATTATTTTCATGTACAGCATTAGCGAAACCCTTCTCTGAGGAACAGTGAGAAGACTTACATTAGTTTTGGAAGCCAGGCTTTATAGGAGGAGACTAGGGAGGCTCAGTCTAGATCCATCCTTAAATATGTTAAAGGGTATCTTGACCTGCTTAGGGGAGGGATATGTGACATGTGATGAAAGTGGGCAACTTTGCTCAGCACAACAAGTACGGGTGAGATGCCAAGAGTGGATCAGACAACCACCTCAAGCTACAAATCTGTTGTGTGGGTTTGAGTGAAGGTAATCAAGTAATATGAGAAAGTACCTGGATACCTGGCGGATTCTCTGTCACAGGAAGGCTGTAAATGAATACCCAGACATCTTTCAGGAAGACAAGTTTTAGCTCAAATAGGGTGGTTTGATGTGGAATTTTTCTATGCATGTGTCCTGTAGAGCTCCTGGAATACAATACTTGAGATACCTGATAGGAATAAATGAGACTTCCATGAGGAAAGGACATGGAATTTATCTTCTAAATACCTCACCATTTTTGTTTGAGGAACACTTCTCCCCAAGTCTAAAAGTGTAATCCTGTGAAGCCATAGGAATCTAAACCAAAATCTGTGTTACTCTTCTAGCTCTGCAGTATAGAGTCCAACCAAAACAGTGCTGTATCCTGTAAATGATGCATTTCAAACAGCTGAATTTGGACAAAAATATTGTCTTCATCATTCAGACAAATATTTGGGCTTTGAGAACCTAATAGGAGGATTTTTTGCTTAGCATAGAGAAAGATAATTTATCTCTTTAACAAATGGCACTAATTAAGCCAAAAGGAAGAACAATATTTGCTCAGGTATGTCACTGTAAACACACCATTTTATGTCAACCATCATTTTCCTCAGTGTGGATTTTACCATGTTTTATTCAGATCAAAACCCAACCTTTTCCCATAGGATTTTTGCCTGAATAGGGGATTAGTTAATTATGTGGAAGTCTCTTCTAGTGGGGGAAAGATTTCCATTGAGTTATTCTTTCCATCAGTCATATGAATTTAAGACTCATCACTGGGATTCCAGAAAGCTGGGATTCTTCTTACAACCCCAAATCTGCAACTGCATCCCACCACTGAACCTTGTGAGCAGCTGAACTTAATGCAACAGAGCTCCTTCCAGTTAAAATTCTGGATCTCTAGGGCTCCCCAAATGAGGCTGAATTGTATCTGTGTACACAAAATGAGTATCATACATATAAATTAATACTTTGCCTAAGACATATGACATATAACAGAAAAGTAGGTGAGACACAGTCATGTACAGCCATCCCTACCAAGGGGTTGAAACAAACACCCACATAGTCCTGAAAACACTCTTAGTTATTTGTGGTATCAGCTGTGCTTTGAGAGGTGTTCTGAATCACAATTTTCAGTTGTATTTTCTAGCTTTATGTGGCTATGAGAAAAAGTTTGGGATGTTACTGTGGTGGGGAGGAAAGACAGAAGGACAGAGAGGGCAAAGGCTGTTTCCAAAGCTTGACACAAACATTGGTGGCCTTTAACCCAAAATGAAACTTCATTCATAGCCTAAGGAGATATGGAAAAGAAAAAGCAGATCCCAATCAAAAAATCTTAATAATCAAAGAAAGGTAGAATTCTGAACAAAGTCCTGCACTAAAGCCAGATAAAACCCCCACCAGTGTTGGATGCAGGGAGCCCACCTGCTCACCTCAGCCAGCACACACCAGCCCCAAGCTGTTCACTTCCATTTCTTGGTGCCACTCAGAGGAGCACTGAGCATGGGCTGCTGCTTTTCCCCGCTGCCCTGCAGCCAGCTCAGGAGGGGAAGCTCTGAGACATCCCCACACTGCCTTTGGGTCTCAGCACGAAGCCCTGGGGCACGCCGAGTGGCACAGACACCCAGCAGTGGGCTCTGCTCTCTAAAGTGCATCTCCTCCATCTTGGCCTCCTCACAGTTTGCCTCCTCCCCCCTTCCCATGCAAGCAATGCCACCCAAAGGACAAAAGCCAAGGCACCAACGTCAAAAGCAAAACCTAATCCATGCAGCTCTCCTAACACGCCACAGCCCATGCTGGCACTCTGCCAGACAATGAGCTCGTGCTTGCTTTGACAATTAAATCACTTCCCCGTGTGGCCCCAGCTCAGGGAGCCCTGGTACAACCATGCAGATCTTGAAAACCAAAAGGTAGCTCTGTAGAGCAAGGTAGAAAGCAAATTTTCAATCAAAAAATATTGTTTATTTTGAAGATGGTCTTGGGTAAAATGCTGGGATCAAAGGCATCACCAGACAAGATCAGGAGCTCCAGGTTCTCTGTCATGGTGTTTCAGAGTTGGAGACAGCCAAAAAATAGCTAGATTTGGAAGGAAGGTGCTGAGAGTAGTTTTTTTGTAGGTTCTGCAGTGCAAAGGGCTTGTACTGTCCTGTGCATATGTGAGAATTGGAGGATTGTTCTGATGATTTCTTCAAACCAAAATGAGGGTTTTGGTGGAGTGAAATTATATCTGGTTGATCAACATGCTGTGTTTTGATACTGACTTTTTTTTCCCCTCTATTTTCTTTAATTAATTTTTCTTCAATTATAGAAGAAAGGCCCCTCTGGAATTACCCATACCTCCTATTTTGGCACTTTAGACTTTTCTTTTTTTTTTTTTTTTTTTTTCCTTTTTAAAGTTCTGAAATTCTTCACAATCCATTCTTTTCATTGCACATTCTTTTTCATGTGCAAACCTCTGTCTTCATTCACAAAGCCTTGCTCATCAACCACAGTTTTATTTCTGCCCAGCTCTAAGAACAGCGTCATCTCCAGGGACTGGATGACCCCTTGATTCCCTTTTGCACCTCTGCTTATCAGCCTGCAAGGAGCAGAGCTTCACTGGGGCTTCCCTGCTCTTGCACAGGAAGAATTCAGCCTTCCTTCCTTCCTCCCTTCTGGATGCACAGTGCCCACAGAGTCCAGCAATGCAGAGTTTGGGGTCCATGGGCATGTTCAGAGCTGGTCTCAGAGGCAGCAGGTTGGGTAACCCCCCTAAAAAATGGAACATATCTGACTTAGTCACAGGTACTTGCCTTTTTAACAGCTGGGTTTTGGGTACTATGAAGCACTTGATGGCAAATAGAGGATCCTAATCAAATCTGTATCATCTGCCTGTATCCAGACTACCTCATCTCTTGCAGGTGGATTTAAGGGGTGATGCATTGCTCCAGGTCAGCTTCTCTGGGGGGGAAGAGATTTGTGA